TCATTCTGCCAGCTGGAGATCAGCTATAGGGTTTGGCAGAGGAACATTTACTGAGTTCCTGTTGCATAGAGGGAATGGTCTAAGCAGTAGCATGTTTGTAGTATTTCCTAGTTCAGCAGGCTCCTCCGTACTACTTTGGGAAGGGATCATGTGAGTAGAGTTTTTTAAACATTTCAAACAGATACAATGCCAGCCACCTGAATGGCTGTATGCTGTCTACAACGTCTTGTTGACAGTAAGAACACTGACTAAAGTGCAGTGACAGTAGCAGTTTGTTAGAGATCGCACCACAAGCAGTTGGCCAGCAAGGCTTAGGTCCGATACTGTAGCCTCTGCCTTTTTTCCTACCTGAGGGAAGATGCTGGGGTGGAGCGGGGTCTCCGGCGCAGTTGGCCTTCTGGCCGGCAACCAGCCACACCATTCCTCGTCCTTCCAGCCCCATGGAGGATGTGATCGCTTACTCCGGGTTTCCGGGGCACCAGCCTGATTTCTTGGCAGCCACGGAGGCACCCTGGGATGCGAAATCAGGCAGCCGCCTGATATTAGAAACAATTACTGCTAATTACCAGACCTGCTAGTTCCCCATTGTCTGCTCACACCCCACCAGGAACTGAGGAGCAGACAATGATGATGTTGGAGGAAACTTTCAATTTCAGGCTGCAGCGGTCTCTGCCTAGGAGGCTGAGCTCCTTATGCTTTGGAACCCAGGAGGCCTCGGCATCTCTCGCATTTCTCTGGCATCTCTCCGGCATCTCTCCGGCATCTCTCTGGCTTCTCCCTGGCTTCTGCCTGGCTTCTCCTTCAAAATAGATCCTGGACCCCCCCAGAGAGCTGGGAGGATGGTGTAGAAGACCAAGGGATGTGGAGGAAAGAGACTCTTAGCTGCGAGAGTCTAGTGTTCTCCTTGGTGCTGTTAATTAAGGGTCTTTAGTTTTGCAAGAATAGTGAGTACATGTTTCAGTCCCCAGGCATTTAAGTGCCTATTTTTTCCCATACTTTCTCTATAAAAGGTACACTGTTGCAGAATTGCTAACTTAATAGCCACAGAAACCCAACTGCGTGAGCTCCAGTACTGCTTGTCTTTGGCTTCTTCCAGAAGCACCCGGACTCTCAGATTGAAGTGGAAATAGATTATTTGGGAGGCCATCCCAGAAATCACATGGGGGAGCACAGAAGGAAAAGGTAGGAAGGAAGGGAGCTAGTACAGGTGGAAAGCAAACCTATGGCCACTGTGGGCAACTGAGCATGGAGAGACCCTGCCAGGGAGTTCAGGAGACCGTTTACCCCAGCAATGGACCTCTCCCAGTTTGTCACTAGTCAGGAGCTGTTTCTAGGCCATTAAGCCAAGTGATTCCTGCCTGCCCCCCACACAGGCAGAGAGTACAGTCATAGCCAGAAAAGAAGATCTAAGGCTGCATGGCTGTGTAAGAGTCTGCAGCTGGAGCAGAAGTGCTAGCATGTCAGGTGGAGCCACACATCTCCTATATGACTTGGGCAAGTGACTGACCCTTCAAGAATTGTATCAACTACAGCTTGGAGGGGCTGAAATGAACTGATACAGGTAGAGCCCTTAGGCTGTTGGTAGCACACAGTAGGCCCTGCCAGCTTGCGGCTCTGTGAACCTTCTCGTACAGATCTTGGTGTCAAGTCCCCCTTGTGGTATTTATTGGAAGCTTAGTCTCATTTGGTTCAGGATTTTCCCCAGAGTTATAACTGTGTCCTAGGGAAGTTTATGTACAGAGAATCCCTGTAAATTGCTAACGCAAGTCCAAGGGTGACATTCATAGTACAGTGGACCTTCATAGTCATGTAATCTGTAAATTCAACCAACTGTGGATCAAAAATGTTTGAAAAACATTCCAGGGAGTTCCACAAAGCAAAATTCAAACCTGCCACATGCTGAGCACTACAATGAAATCACACAAATGGAGTGGTACCCGGCTGCACCCTGCACCTCACCACTCACACACACTCAGTCCTTCCCTGGCTGTCACTGTCTGAGCATTGTTTGTTGCATCTTGTTTGTGTGCTCTGCACCTAGGCCTATAGCAGTTGTTTCCGTGCTGAACATCTAGTCACTTTTTCAGTTATTATTTCCTAAACGAGACAGTATAACAACTATTTATGTAGTGTTTACATTGTGTTAGGTATTATAAGTCATCTAGAGATGATTTAAAGTATACAAGAGAATATGTTAGGTTATATGCAAATACAATACTATTTTTTGTCGTTTTGAGACAGGGTCTCGCTGTGCTGTTCAGGCCAGCAGTGAGCTCACTTTGTAGCCTAGGCTGGTCTTGAACTTGCAAGGATCCTCCTGTCTCAGCCTCCTGAGTGCTGGGATTACAGGCATGTGCCACTACGCCCGGCCTAATACCATTTATTTTTAACCAAGAACTTGAACACCTGTGGATTTGGGTATGTGGGGGTTGTCCTGGAACCAAGCCTCCATGAATACTGAAGGACACTTGTATTCACTGAGAGACAGGGAGCAGAGACATTGATCACACTATTTAGGGTTGGAGCCAGCATCATAGACTCTAATTCTCTTTTTCCATAGCTTTTAGCACTTTCTAACATACTATATAACTTCTTGTTATGCATCTTCCTGTATAACTTACTGATACTATTTCTTGTTATGCATCTTCCTCCACTAGAATCTCAGTGCTCAAGGGCAGGAATCACTTTCATTTGTTACTTGATTTTTCTGTGTCTAGAATGGTGCATACATACATCGTATGTGCTCAGTAGACATTTGTTGAATGAATGAAACCAATGGATGCTGGCTGCAGTGTCTCTGTACTTCCTGGGTTGTCAGTGCTGCTTACTATTCGGTAATCGTGGCTGCTATCACTGCATTGCTGAGACAATGGAACGTGTGGTCCTCGGTCATCATCCATCATGCCAACATCTTCAGGAGCATGGTCATCTCTGTTTGCTCCTTAGTCATTGTTTCTCTGGTCTCAACTGCTTCTTTTTTCTTTTTTCTTTTTTTTTTCTCCCATTGCTGGGGGTGGAGCCCAGGGCTTCATGCATGCTAGGCAAGTGCTGTGCCACTGAACTACCCTCAGCTGCTTTGGTTTGCCCAGACCACCAGCCTCTATGGATTTGTCTCTTGGGTGCACTAGAACATGCATTTATTTTTCTCTAGGGTATGGAGAAACATATGCTTGTTACAGGCTCTTCCAGGGTCACTTGACATGACAGCCGAGGGTTGCAGCCATTTCTGCAAAGCATTGTGCTCTTGCCAAAGCTCTACCACTAATGAGGGTGGCACAAGTTCCCTCTGCTTTCAGATCCCGTGAGCCAAACCTGAGATTTTCTGTGATCCCTATGCACCACCAGCTCAGCCCAGGGACCACAGACCTGCCCAAGGACCATCTAGAATCTCAGTTTTCTCTTTCTCACTGACTTCCTCTGCTCTCCTAGGCTGAGATTTGTTTGTTTGGGGGCAGGGTAGCCTGGTCTTGTATCTGTTCTTCTAAGCCTGTTTCTTTGGGTTTAGAATTAAAAAGCGAAGAGTCTAAGTTTCTTGATCTCTGCATTTATTGGGCATCCTTCCTCTGAGGCAGTAGACTGTGGGGTTGGGACAAGAGTAGTAGAAATCACGACAGTGAAAAACACTCAGGCTAGACTGTCAGGTTATGATCCTGACATTGATCCTACTGCTATCTTAGGCAAAAATGAAATCTGTTTGCTACAGTGGAGTTCCTCAGGGAGGTAAGGCTGGAGCGGCCAGGACTGGGTAGATAGTACAGTCTGTGGCTCTTGAGAGGGCACCGTCATGTGCTCAGTTCTCATGATGCTGGAACTCTCTTTACTTCCTAGAGAGGATTCCAAGTGACCCAGGATGAGGTAAGCATCTATCCCTGGATCCATTAGCTCTGGCCAGGCGGCGGGGCCACCATTTTTCCTGGGCAAATGGATTCCTCATCTGAATAAGGTTGGCAAAAGTAAAACAACAAAATAAAACAAAACCAAATTCCCCTGTGACTGTGGTGAAGATCAGATAAGAAGTGGAATGGCGAAGATCAGATACTTCGCTCCTGAAGACAGTCAGAGTACATCAGGCGTGGAGCATCGTACGCTGCCTCATTTAATACAACATGCTCTGGAGAGGCGAGCATTATTATTATGTCCATCTCAGACCTAGGAATGGGATTGTTAGAGGTAAAGATAGGGGGAAAAAATAAAACTGACTTTAGCAAAAGAATAATTACTGTTGTTGCTGACTTACATAACCAAAGGATGAAATCACTTGCTTCAGGCAGAACCTTCCCAGTGCCGCCAGTTTGGTGCCTTCATCTGTGGACTGTGGGTATCCACAGAGTCACCAGAAGTCCTGTCCCGTGCCTGAGGCTCAAGTGTGGTGGGAAGAGAGAGCCTCCGCCCTCGCTTCTGTTCACACAAAGCTTTCAGGTCAGAGTCTTGAGGGCTGGCTCACCGGATGGCCAGGCTGAGCTGCAAGTCCAGTCTCTGGGAGCCCATCCCTCCACTGCAGTCACGTACCGCGGGGCGGGGGCTCTCCAAAGGAAATTCGAGGTCTTGTTACCCAAGGGCAGCCAAGTAACAGCCACAACAGACCTGGCCCAAAGCCTCGTCCAGGACATCTTAGGCTTTCATGTGCAGAGTGATCACCTGGGGCTCAAGGCTGAACTGCAGATTCTGATTTAGCACCAGAGTGGTGTCAGGTGCATGTGATTCTAATTGGCTCCGGGTGATGCTGATGCAGCTGGTCTCTGGACCGCGCTTGGAGTGTCACGTGAGCTGGGCGCCTCACAGGCTCTAATCTCCCGTGGTTCTTATAGCCACCCCAGAGGTAAGTGCCAACGTGCACATGCCACAAATGTGGAGCCCAAGGCTTAGCAAGGAGAGGTTGCATCAGGGATGTGGACCAAGATCAACATGGAATAAAGGATGTTCTGGAGCTGCCTGCTGAGTGCTCAGAGTTCTTTCGGCCCCTGGGAACTTCTGTGTTTTCTCATCTTTTCTTTTTACAGCCTTAACTATGGAGGAGTTTGCCTGGCGTCGGATGCCCAGTTCAGTGACTTCCTGGGCAGCATGGGACCAGCACAGTTTGTGGGCCGCCAGACCTTGGCTACTACACCCATGGGTGAGTGCCCCAAGGCCTGTTCCAAATGGAAATGAAAAGGGAGGGGTCTTATGTCATGTCTCCCTCTGACCCTCTACCTGTTGGCTACATGCTGTGAGCACCCAGCCCTTGGCCTGATCCACATAGCTGAACACTCAGCAAAGCCCAGGCCGTGGGCATGAATGTTGGTTCTGGTCTTATTTGGGCTGGGAGCCGGGGAAAGGGCCTTCATTCCTAAGCAGATAAAAGCTGGTCTCATCTCTTGGGGCCTCTTGCAGGAGATGTGGAGATCGGCTTGCAGGAGCGGAATGGTCAGCTAGAAGTGGACATCATCCAGGCTCGGGGACTGACAGCCAAGCCAGGCTCCAAGACACTGCCAGGTGAGGCAGCCACTCTCCCTGTGCAAGGCAGGGGTTGCGGTCAGGGAGGGTATCCTGAAGGGATCCAGGGTCTGTAAGAGAGAAAATTGGGCCTAACTGTGGAGAACCGCTCAGTCTTAGAGGGCGCTGGTGGTTTAAGGTTTGTCTAGGGACTCAGATGAGATTTCCTGTCAACCTTGCCAGGTCCCCCTCTGGATGGAGCCTTGAGAGGGCAGGGACCGTCTTTGCTGCTTAACGTTACACCCTGTGCGTAGTGGTGTGCTTGGCGTGCAGGGGTGCCCAGAGTCTGTTGAGTGAGTGGTCTGCAAATGACTGGATAAGGCAGGGGTGGGCGAGTTATGGGCTGAGGAGGGGAGCAGAGGGCAAGAGGAGCAGCAGTCAGGACTGCCAGGGCAGCTGGTAGGATCCCACCCAACACTGCCCCACCCCCACCTGCCCCTGGCCTCCTCTCACGCCACGGGGTGCTCCTCTCCCCACCTGTTCCCTCTGTCCACCATGTGAGGGTCCAGCCTGGAACTCTGCTGCCTCTGTCCCCAGCTGCCTACATCAAGGCCTATCTGCTAGAGAACGGTGTGTGCATTGCCAAGAAGAAGACCAAAGTCGCTCGCAAGTCGCTCGACCCGTTGTACAACCAGGTGCTGCTGTTTCCCGAGAGTCCACAGGGCAAAGTCCTGCAGGTGAGGGGCCCTGGCATGCACGTGGTGGGGTGATGGGGCGCCGCATAGGGAGGAAGTCGAACACTGGCTGGTTTGTGCCCTGCAACTTCCTGTGCCGCTGTTGAGGCGTCTTCATCTATAAAGTGGGTACTTTTCCGGTACCCACCAGTAGTAACACTACCACATGGCATGATGGTGGGCCGTGTGCTGTGCAGGAGGGGCCTGTACCAGGTACTCTATCAGTGGCCACCATCGTCCACTCTGGAGCCACGGGCTTGGCCTGGGCCGTTAGGAGGACCCTGGTGGTCACTCAAGCTGGAGCTGAAGAGCTGCCCATTGTGGGGCAGGTCAGACCTGGGCTGGACACCCACAGGATCCCTGTGCCTGCTCTCAGCTGCCACATGGGCACCTGCCCCTCAGGGCTGGCATCTACTTTGGACAGGCCAAGTGCCAAGAGCAGGCCCAGGATGCTCCAAGTTGCCCAGACAGTGGGACTTCACCAAAGTAGGAAGCCTGGGTCCTCTGTCCTAGGGCAGTGTTTCAGCCTGTGAGTTGAGACCCATCAATGAATTGTGAAGTCAGTTTTGGTAGGTCTCAAATAATTTTTAAAATAGAATGAAGCAAGGCCAGGTGGTACATAGCTACAGTCCCAGCACATGGGTGACTGAGGCAGGGAGTGTCTCAACTTTGAGGTCAGTCTGGCTACATAGCAAGTTTAGGGTCAGCTATCTGACCCTAAACTATCTATAGCCTGTACTATCTATAGCCTGTCTTGAAAAGAAAAGAAAAAGAAAAAGGGGAGAGAGAGAGAAATAGGAGAAGAAAGAACATTTGTCAGCTACCTGAGGAGCACCAAAAACATAGCAACCTCAGGCAAATGATTTAACTTCTCTGAGCCTCAGTTTACACAGCTGTGAAACAGGATCATTTTGTGCAGGGGAAGACTGAATCTCAAACCAGTTTAGACACCCAGCAGACTGTAAGGGCAGTCTCTTTGTTTGAGTGTAGCTTTGTACGCTGAGGAGCAGCATACAGCTGCCAGCCAGCCTTTGCAGCTACTCTATCCTTTGATCCTCACCTGGGCGGTAAGCTGAGCCAGTATTGTTCCGATTACACACGCAGACACTGAGGCCTAGAGAGCTAAATGACTTGTCAAGAACCATACAGCTATCTGGGTACGGTGGTACACCCATGTGTACTGGGGCAGGAGGACCACAAGTTCAAGCCCATCCTGGACAATTCAGCAAGGCATTATCTTAAAATAAAAACAGAGTAAAAGGGCTGGGGATATAGCTCAGTATGAGGGCTGTGGGTTCAAGCCACAGAAAAACACACATACACACACATACACACACACACACAGAGGCCGTCAGAGGCAGAGTCCTGTATCTGATTGTGAGGCTGTGCTAAAGCCACCAGACCCCGAATGTTTGAGGCAGCCCACGTCTGCAGAGGGGGCCTGAGCTAGGAGCTGAAGCACAGAACAGCCAGTAAGAGTCGTGCAGCCAGAGACCACTACCTGGCGTGTCCAAGAAGCTACTGACCAAGAAAAGGGAAAGAGACTGGCCAGAAGAAAAGAAAGTAGCACGCACGCTGTACTGGCACTTCGTAGAAGTTGGCTTGTGGGGGGCTGACGATCTGGAGGCTGCGGCCCACAGGGAGAGCAGGCAGAGGACTCAGGATATAGGCTGCAACTTGAAAGCCTGGGTTCAGAGGTGGGGCATGTGGGGGACAGAATGGAGAGGGCAGGAGGGGCCATGGTCATGGGGACTCTGGATCCAGGAAGACGGGATCGGCCCAGAGTAGTTTTGAGGAGGTAGGTCTCAGATGAATGTGCCTGGGGAGCCCCAGCTTCTGGTTCTGGGCTGCAAGTGGCCCTGGCAGGCTCAAGCCACACTGTTTTTCACCCTACAGGTGATCGTGTGGGGAAACTATGGGCGGATGGAGCGGAAGCAGTTCATGGGTGTGGCCCGCGTGCTGCTGGAGGAGCTGGACTTGACCACCCTCGCTGTGGGCTGGTACAAGCTCTTCCCCACCTCCTCCATGGTGGACCCAGCCACAGGTCCCCTGCTGCGGCAGGCGTCGCAGTTGTCCCTTGAGAGCACCGTTGGGCCCTGCGGCGAACGATCTTAGTGCCGGGGATGGGGAGGGGCTCCCCGAGATGGCCTGGAGACCACCCAGCCCTGACCTGGGACCCCAGGCCCAGGGGCACATGAAACAGAGGAGTAGGGGGTTCTCCCCTATAGCGGGGAAGCAGAATGGGAGACCTGCCCCCCTTGCACCCCTCCTCACTTCCTCTTTGCCTCCTACCCTTTGAGACCTCCCCTCTCCCAGCGGATTGGCTGCACTTTTGACTTGGCCGGTTGTTAACCTGGTGGATGTGGCTGCACTAGGAGAAGGACTGAGGTGGCAGAGCAAACCACCCACCTGCCCAGCACTCTCCCACCTGTCCCCATTTTGCCTCCTCGGAAGCTTGCTGCCCGGAGCCAAGTCCAGAACCCAGCCGGCCATCTCCATGGTGCCAATTACCAGCAAGTGTCTTTCCTGCGGCACCGGGTTCAGGCAGCTACTCCTGCCCCAGAGCTGAGGGGCAGCTTTGCAAGGATCCGGAGCCAGCTCCCAGGGCCCGGAGCCCTCCCCTTGAAGAGGAGCTCGGGCCTCCCTCTGCCTGCCCGAGGAAGGAGCTTTGCCGCAGCCTGTCGGAGTTCATCTACCCATCCCCTCCTGCCTGCCCCTCTTCTGGTGGCTGTAGGAATTGGGGGCCAGCAGGGACCAAAGGAAAGGCGGAGGTGCCTGGGGGTGGCCAGGGTGCCTTTCTCCATGGGATTGCAACAGGCTAGACTGTTGCTGAGTTAGAAAGAACATCGTCATCTGTGTTTTTTTTGAAAGAGCGGCAAGACCCTGAGTTTCCAGAACGCTGTGACCAGGGAGTTCATCACCGAGGCATTTGGGGGATACTGGATTGCAGGAAGGGTGAACTGAGGAAAGCTGGGACTGAGACTGGTGGTGTCAAGAACCCCTGCTTGTTAGGTGAGAGCAAAGGTCATCTTATCTTCCCCTTTGCCTCTGGGTTAGGGGCCAGGGGAGGCAGTGGAGCCACCTTATTTTAGTCTTTTTAAATAAACCATCTTGTACCAAGGGCGGGACTCCCTGCCCAGCCTCAGTCACCTTGGCTCAAGGGAAGAAGGTGGTAGAAGTAAACACCGGAGGCCTGGGTAGCTGCCTTCTCTGCGGCCTTCCCTGGGCCTGTGGGAGCCCTTTGCATGCGAGGGAGGACGCAGGCTGGCCCCTCTTTATAGAAGCACATTTCTGCCACCTCCCCCTGGGAGGCATCCAGCAGCCTGCCAGTCCTCTTCACCTAGTCCCTGCTGTGTAGGGCGTAGTCCAGGTTAGCTGGGTAGACTTAGTATTCACATCCTAGGGCCTGTTCTTAGCTCAGAGTAGTCTTCACAGAGTCCTAGGCTGGAGATGGAGAGGAGACCCGAGTACATTCCAGGAGACCGTGTCTCCTTGCTGGCCTGGGCCTGGATCAGCCACCTGGATCGGTTCCCGGGAGGCCAGTAGCCCCTCTCCTCCTCCCCTTGAGACCCTCCCTTGTAGGGATGTAGCCGGAGCTGTCCATTATACTCAACATTGATTTATTATCCTCGATTCGCACTTTCTTTATGAGATGCTTCTGAGGCTCACTGGGCCTTGGTGGAGAGGCCTGGTTTCTGCAGACTGAGGATGCCTGGGCTCTCCTTGGTCCCACCTTGTACCTGGTTCCACCAGGGATTCCTAATCCTCCCCACTCCTTAGCTTGGTTAAGCCATGGGTGTCCTCTAAAGTTAAGTTCTGTCATCTCCATGGAATTCTTGACAGTGCACTGGGAAGGAGAAATGGAGATGCTGCTCTCCTCCAGGTCTGCAGAGCTTCCGGGGACCATGGAGGGGAATGCTAAGGCTGAGATGGTGTGAGGGCTCCGGGCTCCTGGCTCCAGCGGGTGGAGCCTATCCAAGGCCCACAGTCAGCTTTTCTTCCCCACCTCCCTTTTTTTAACCAGTGTGATTTCTCTGCTGTTCATTTATTACTCACTATATGGGACATTTCGAGCCAGCAGGAGAGTGGCTTCTCTCTCCAGCTGTCTGTCACTGCTGTACTTGTTCAGGGGTCACTTTTCAAAGTCCGGGCAGGGCCTGGCCGTCCTAACCAGACGGGTAGGGGCTCAGCACTGACTTGTCCTCCCAGCCTGAGCCCTCTCTCCACTGGCTGCTCAGGTTAGAGACAGAGAAGAGAGACACAGAAAGGAGAGAAGGAGAGGGATGGGGGGAGGGGAAGAGAGAAGGAGAGAGTGAGAGAGAGTGAGAGAGAGAGAGAGATCGCTCCAAAGCAATAACAACTCCCCGGGGGTGGTCAGCAAGGCCCCCTCACTAACTTTCTTGTTTGTTCTGTGAAATCTCGCTCACCTCCTGGCGGGGTGGGGTGGGGGCTGGAGCCCTGTTTATTTGTATCATTCTTGTGAGCCCGCGCCCCCCTAGAAGGGGCTGTGACCATTGGGTGTGGGAACCACCGTCTGTCCTCACCAGGAAGGGGCTTCTGGAGCAGGAGTGATTATTTTCATCATTAGCTTTGGGGAAACTTCAGCCTGTCCCCTTTGCTGTCTGATCTTTGGCCAACTGAGACTCCACCATTTGGAGAGGCACAAAGTGGAGGTGGGTGTCTCTCTGGGGCTGGCGTCTCTAGGAGTGATTCTTTTTTCAGTGTCTGGGCCGGGCTGCCATGGGAGGGCACCACCTCCACTTCCTTTACCAAAATGACTTTCCATACTAAAGGAAAGGGCTTTTGGGACCTTTAGTCCATTTCCATTTCACACAGGAGAAGACCCAGGCCCACCACAGGAGGAACCACCCGGAGGTCACCTGTGTGTTCGAGGCACCCTGAGCCTGGGTCCCCTCTCCCCACTGGGCTGAGCTGGGGCCAGGGCAGGATGCAGGGGGCTTCCACTTCCCACTCTTCCTCTTCCCTTTCTTTAAAACCTCCCAGAGGACCCCAAAATATGGCCAGGACAAGTTGTAGCCCATCTGAGAGGTTAGGAAACTGAGGCCTAGCTAAGACCCCTCGGTAGGTGGACAGTGGAGGCAGAGTTTGGGACCCTCTGTGCTTCCTCCCTGTGCAGGAAAGCACTGTTCCAGGACAGCTCAGCCTTGATCAGCACTTCCGGCCTCTAAACATTGGCCTACACAGCCCTGCTTAACTCTCCTGGGCCAAGGTCTTTTCTAGGCTTGGGTGTGGGGACTGAGGCCTCTGCCGGTCTACCCAGCTGATCGAGGAGTGCAGGGTTTAATCTAGGCCTGGAGGAAGGTGTGGGGCTCCCTCCAGGGACCATTACCTCCACAGCTGGGGAAGAGGGATGAAAATCAGCTCCTGCCTGGGCCGAGGAATGAGGAGTGGGAGCCACACGAAGCACCCCACATCGAGACATCCTCACAGAACTTTGGATGCAACGAGCCCTCTTCCCCTCAGAGCTGTCCACGTTTTTTTGCAGTGCTTTCTCTTGGAGTGTGCCCTAACCCACACAGGAGCTCCAGGTAGTGGGGTGGAGGCCTGTGCCGTCAGCCCCATTTTCAAGTGGGGGGGGGCGCCAAGAGTCCAGGGGAGGAAGGTGCTTTTGAAAGTCCTGCCTCAAGCGAGTGGCCCAGCCAGCGCTAGCACTCACTTCTCCAGCAGTTCTGAGCTCTCCCTCCCACCCCCGGAATCCAAGGGGCTAGTTAGGAGGTTATGCCCTTCACATGCCGATGCACCATCGAGCTCCTCGGCCGGAGCTCTGGGCGGGCCTCGTGTCAGAAAGTGCTGAGCCCACTCCCTCCAGAGGCACGGCTGTTGCATCAGGCAAGGTCACCTGCATTTATTTATTGAGCAGCAGTGCTGTGCCAGACCCAGAGGACCAAGCCCCCGCCCCGCCCCGCCCCTCCATGTCAGCTCCCTCTGCCCTCTGGGAGGGCCGTGTCTGCAGGGGCAGCAGCACATCAATGGGCAGAAAGTGTTCACATCCATGAGCTCACTAAAAGCCCCTAGAGCAGGTGGCCCTACCCATTTTCCCCACAGTGGCCATGGGCAGAGTAGAGGCTGGAACCAGGGTGGAGGTATCACCTGTGAGCCCTTTCATGCCATGACTGACTCCTGCGGAGTGGTGGAGGGAACGTCTCTGGCTCCTTGAGCTGGGGTCCTCCTTCCGTCCGCCCACTCTCATGCCCTCTCCCGGAGCAGGAGCCACTGGGCCTTTAGGGAGGGAGGGTTTCAGGGCCCCGGGGTTGGAGTGGGTCATGCTGCATTGTGTTCATGACCATGTAGCTCATGTTGAAAATTAAAGTTTTTGGCTTTTCTAACCTGTTTTGCTCTCTGTGTTAAGACAGTTCTGTCTGAGGCGCTGGTGTTTCAAGGGGCTGAGTGCTATGGGATGCCAGGATGGCCACTGTGGGCTTCGTTAGTACTCCCTTATGGGGCAGCAGCCTGTCCTGGAAAGTCCTGCCAGAAATGCACCACAGGGCGCAGGGCACTGGAGGAACCCCACTCATCATACTGATGTGGAAACAGGCCCAGGTAGCGCGTGAAGAGCCCGAGGGCGACACTGCTGTTGATACGCAGGACCCACGGCACAGGGCTGCCTCAAGGACTGTCAGCAAAGCCCCCTGGACCCGGAAGTGGGGCTGGCCAGGGAAAAAAGTGGGAGAATCATTCACACATGGCCAAGTGAGCTCTCCATGCTGGGGGAAGAGGACGGGTGGTTTGCACGGGGCGGGGGTGGGCTGTATGGATGGTGGACAGCTCCCCTCCGTCCGTCTCTGCCCATTTCTAGTGTGATCATCTGGCCTCCATGGAGGATTCCAGAGCTGTACATTTCCCCCGCCTCGTCACAACGGAGACAGCCACCTGTCTGACGAGTGGGCTGCTGGCGTGCACCTGTGCGGCCCTCTCCTGGGGCGGGTGTGCCCGGCTGTCCTACAGTTTGGACTAGGAGGGATTTGCACCTACAGGGTGACTGTAGCGTCTGACTTGTGCTTATGATACAGCATGGGTATATTTCTGGAGGGGCGGGGAGGAAGACGCCGAGCCGCAGAAGATGCTCATGCCGGAAGACAATCCTGAGGCCCCATCCCTCTCTGGGCCCTGGGGTGGTGCCGTGATAGGTGAAACCAGACGCTGCCATCCATCTGGAGCCCGGGCCAGCTACGGCTGGATCAGATGGACTTCCGTCGGGCGCGGGTCCTGTCTGTCCTGCCACCGTGTTCGGCAGTGGGACTCCAAGGCGGGGAGAAGCCCGGATTGTCACAGGCCTGCATCTGCAGCCTGAGGATGCGATGGGTGGCACAGGTGGCGGCCCGGGCACCTGGTGTGAGGTGGGGCCGGTCTAGGCCGCGGCTCTCGGGCGCCCCCTGGTGGGACAGGCTGGCGCGGCGGGCAGCGCGCTCGGGCGCCTCCGCGCTGGCGAGGAAGCGCAGGACCACGAGGTTGAGGAAGGCTCCGATGACCGTGAGCCCTAGCAGGATATAGAGGAAGCTGAAGGCCACGTAGGGCGGCTTCCTCTGCAATGCCTCATCACTCTGCAGCGCCACGAAGTCGCCGAAGCCGATGGTGGTGAGGGTGATGAAGCAGTAGTAGTAGGCGTGGAAGAAGGTCCAGCCCTCGAAGTGCGCGAAGGTGGCGGCCCCGAGGGCCAGGGTAGCGGTGCACACCAGCAGCCCGGCCACCACCATGTTCTCGGTGGACACGCGCGGCTGCCGCAGGCCCAGGCAGTGTTTGGCCGCCAGCAGGAGGCGCCGCACCAGCGCGTTCAGCCGCTCGCCCAGGCTCTGGAAGGTGACCAGCGTCAGGGGGATGCCCAGGAGCGCATAGAACATGCAGAAGAACTTGCCCGAGTCCGTGCCTGGCGCGGCGTGGCCGTACCCTGGGCGGGAGTGGAGAGAGGGTGGTGAGGGTCCAGCTGCATCTGACAGCGCTCCTGTCCCTCCCCATCCCCAGGCCCCGCTGACCATCTCGAACAGGAAGACTAACCAGGTCACCCCCGTACTTTGAAATCTTGCATGATTATAACCTCCCTGTACTGTAAACAGCCCCAATATCCCTCGATAGGGAAATAACCCCTGGTACATTTCAGCAATACTTGGGGCGGGGGACAGTGGAAGGAATTATTGTCACCTGCAGCGATACAAGGTGGATCTCAACGTCCAAGAGCTGATCAAAACGTACAGTGTGTGCTTAAATATAACTGTTACAATAAAAGACACATTTGTCGTTAATGCCCCTCCAACTCCAACCTCACTTCAAACACAGTTATCCAGTCGTTCTTGTCACTTTCTAAAGCAGTTCTCCAAATCCTCTTTCGTGTTTTTATGAAATGTGATTTTTTTGCTGGGGATATAGCTCAGTGGCACAAGCACCTGCCTGGCAAGCTCAAGGTCCTGAGTTCAATTCCTAGTACCAAAAAAAAAAAAAAAAAAGGAAATGTGATTTTAAAAAGTACAGTGAATGCTGCCAGCCAGGCTCCTACAAACATTACAATGTGTCCTTCTCCACCTTACTCCCTGGATATGGCATTGTGCAACTTCCGGCTCTTCCCAAAGTCTAAATGACCATGCAAGGCAAACTTTTTCATCCATCGAAGACATTAAGACTGCATGGTTCCACTGAAATGACATTCTGGAAAAGGCAGAGTTGCAGGGACAGAGAACAGATCTGTGGTTGCAAGTCCTTGGGGTTGGGGGAGGGGTTGACCACAAATGGGCATCACAATTTAGGGGTGAAGCACATATTAATGCCTTGACATGCAGTTATCCAATAGGGGCTCCTTTATCAGAACCATGAAAAATGGGGAGATTTGTTGTAAGTTATCCCTTCATGGGAAAGTTTTCGTTGCTTCCCAGTACCCATGGGATAAAGTCCCATCCCTCAAGTGGCATCCTAGATCCTTCCTGATTGGAGTCCCGTCCCCAGCCTTTCCAGCCTCACCTCTTCTCTCTTTCTTTTTTTTTTTTTTTTTTTTTTGGTTTTTCTCCGGTACCGAGAACCGAACTCACAACCTTGCACTTGCCAGGCAGGTGCTTTGCCGCTGAGCTAAATCCCCAGCCCCCTCACCCCTTCTCTTTCATCGCTATTCTCCAACTACTCCCTGGTGTTACTCCACCAGTGGGTCCCACCTCCCCATGCCTTTTTCTCAGGGCTTTTTCTTCCCTGGATGGTCTTCCCACGTCCCCCTCAACTTTCTTCCATTCCCAGGTCCTCCTCCTTCTCCACCATTGGGTCAGACCCCACTAAGCACCCCTTCATTCCTGTACAGTCCCAGATAGGGATGCTTCACTGAGCCCCTCATCTGAGAGAGGGGATCTGGGTGTGAGTGCTTCCTCTCTAGGGCTTCCTTGAGTTTTGGGTCACCGTGTTGTTGCTGCAGAATGAGCAGGCGTGTGACTGACTCTTCCTGAAGACAAGAGCCCTAGTGTTCATGAAATTGGGTGCATTTCCACAACAAAATAGGCCCCATCTGCTAAAATGCAAAATATACAAGCTCTTGGACCTATGCGGTTCCCTGGTTAGGAAGTCAGCTTTCCACTCTTCACATGTGTGCAAAATGATGTGCACATGGGCTGTCATTACAGCACTGCCAGTTGCAGTGAAAACTGGAAACAACCTAAGTGGCCATTGACAGGGGCCGGGCCCAATACAATGTTGTGCCATCTAAACAAGGGAATACTGTACAGCAGGGGGTTCTCAACCCACAGTGGTTTTGCTCCTGAGGGGACACTTGGCAATATCTAGAAACAATCTGGGTTGTCACTGAGAAGGGAGGAGGTGGCTGTGTGCCACTGGCACTTAGAGTGTAGAAGCCAGGGATACCATTAACGTGGAGCAATGCGTAGGCTGCCCGTACAACACGGAATTATCCAGGCCCAGATGTCAGCAGTTCCCAGGTTGAGAAGTCCTGCTAACCAGCCATGAAAAGATGATGCAGCTCTTTAGGGACTGATACATAAACATCTTCAAAATGTATTAAGTGAAAAAGGCAAGAGACAAAGTAATGTGTGTACCGTAGTGCCTATATAACACGGGCGGTAGAGGACACCCAAGAAACCATGACTGTATGTGACGCTGGAAGGGTTTATGGGTTAAAAGGCAAAGCGGGAGGAGACTTCCGGTAAACTGTGTACCCTCTGTGCCCTGAGTGATGGTCGCTGTGGGCACACACAGCATTCACAACAGCAATACAACATATATGTTTGAAGATCTGTGGCGGCACTCCCACAAGCTCCTGCACAGCCCTATCAATTTGCCTTCCTCCTCCGTTACAGCGGGGGCTGCTTCGCCCTTCATCAGACTTTGAGCTCCTTGATGTCGGAACCACGGAGGCCGCTTCTCTATGCCTCCGGTCTCCAGTGTCCTGCACAGAAATATAGACCACGGGGCCGGTGAACATTTACTGACTCCAACCAAGTTAAGGTCATGCTAGAGTGAGAGAGAGAGGGGCTGCTTTAGGAATAAGAGGCCAGGAAGTGCTGTGTCTAGCTGCTCGGGGCTTTGCTAGATTTGAGCAGGGGGTGAAAGGAATAGTGATAGTAACTAGACATACTAGGTACTGAACATGGGTTATTTTGTTGAACCCTACCAGTGACACTGTGGATGATGTATTACCCCCATTTTGCCAGAGGAAGCCAGGCTCAGAGGAAGGAAGCTGTCCAGAGGTCTCAGGGCCTGAATTATTAACTGTTGTCCTCCCTGTCGCCTCAGTGCTTCTCTTCTTCCTCTTTCCAAGCAGAGCTCAGATTCCTGGGCACTGGGGGCGGGCTCTCTGCAAGGCTGGGGTAAGCAGCCTGGAGCACACAGCAGGTGGTAGCACCCCCAGGTGGCCAGAAAGAGCAAAACTCCTCCTTCCACTCAAGTTATTCTCTTCCCCCAGGCTCCTCCGTGTCAGGCAGGCAAAGCCAGGAGAAGCGCTAAACCCATCGCAATGCCCTCAAAGAATATGGATGGGGCACCACATCCCTGGGCACCAGCACAGCGAGGGTCTCAGGTCAAGTCAAGATGAGGGAACAGTGGCGCCCATGGAGACAGGAAGCGCAAGGGAGCTGAATGAGAGCTGGGCCATAGCTGGCAAATAAGGAATTATTATTACTAACGAACAGTGCTTTGCTTGGCCTCAGGTACCGCGTCAAGCGTTTTACACGTTTGACCTCACTGGAACCTGGCAACCAATGAGGCAAGAAGAATTGCATTTTGCCTTTGAAGAAACCAAAGCTCAGAGAGGTACAGTCAATTGCCTGAGGAAGCAGGTGGCAGAACTCAGTCTATGAAATTGCAGAAGTTACACGTTTAATTTAGTCACGAAACCCACAATTCCCGTTCACTTGTAAGAGTATTACGGAGAGACTTTCTCCAAGGCCAGCACCCTGGACCGGTGGTGTGAGCCCAAAGAGGAGCCTATGGAGAGGCTGGCACTGAGCTTGGCGTTCTGCTGAGCCAGATTCTCTCCTTTGCAGTTTCCCCAGGCTCAGGCTCAGCAGGTAGCAGCCAGACCGTAGTCATGGCAACAGCTGGCGGTCCAGATGCTGCCAGGTACTGTCCTGGATGCCCGAGGGTAAGGTCCAGAGTCTGCAGCAATCAATCCTTCCTTTAACAAATATTTATTGAGCACCTATTATGCTCTAGGCACAGGCTATACAGCAGTGAATAAGACATACAAGGTCTCTGTTCTCGTGGAGTAACAGAATAATAATTATTATAATGCAAAGACCATTCTCTTTTCCGTGGTGCTTTCTATGTGTCAGGCCCCGTGCTAAAACTTTCTGCATATATTATCTCCTTGATAATCATCTCCCCACAGCCCCAAGATAGGACCTATTAGCACTCGTGTTTTACAGGAGAAAGCCGGCTCAGAGGCCAAGCAACTTGTCTAAGTTCATACAGTGGGGCTGAGTGGTCTGGTCACTTGGTCTTCCGGCCCCCTTTCACCCCCGCCCCCGTCCCTGGGGTTTTTGGAGCGCTTCCGTGCCAGGCTGTTGGCAAACACTGCCGCCTCTGAGCCCTGCCTTGGTGGACTGGCAGCCGCACTGGGCAGAGGGGGTAAATGAGGCTCGGGAAGCCCGAAGGGCCCGTCCGAAGTCCCTCGGCCGGACAGGGGCAGGGGCAGGGTGGGATGGGAACCCCGCGGCGCGGCTCACCGATGGTGGTGATGACGGTGATGGCGAAGTAGAAGGAGCCCGCGAACTGCCACTGGCGGCCGGCGCGGTGCGCCTCGGCCTGCCGCGCCAGGCGCTCCAGCTCGCGGTCGTCCTCGGCCGAGAAGCCGTACTTCCTCCGCAACTCGCCGCGCTTCTGGGCCAGCAGTTGCTGCCGGCCGCGCTCGGCCTCGGACTCGAGCGCGTCGAAGACCGCGGCGCCCACGAGCAGGTAGGACAGCATGCACAGGACGAGCGCGGCCGTGCGCACGCTCTGCTTCCTCATGGCCGCCCTGGACCGCCCAAGGGGACCGGCACCGCCGGGACAGGACGGGACGGGACGGGATGGGACGGGACGGGGCGCCCGCCCGCCACCCCGCGCAGCAGTCGGAGGCGGGGCCGGGCGAGGTGGAGGCTCTCCGGCTGCGCGACTCACTCCCGTCCTGCCCGCCCCCTCGCAGCTGTCTCCCGTTACCGGCTGGCGCCCTGGGGCTCATGCATCTGCAAACACTGACATCTGGAGCGAAGGCCCCAGCCCAGATCCGCAGAAGTCCTACCTCTGCCACCAACTCAACCTGGGACCCTAAGAAAGTCAATCGTTCTTTCCTTCAGTCAGTCAATCATCTGGCAAGCCTTTACCAAGCACTTGTTAGTGCAAAAAAGGTTTCTCGTGGACATAGAGCGGATGCGCGGGGGGCCAGGGCTGGCTAACTCACAAAGATAAGGCAAGTGTGGTACAGAAGGAAAACTGTGTCTGGGGGAGGTGGGCACTGCCAGCTTAGATGGTCAGGAAAGTCAGGAGGAGCCAGTTGGGGGGGGCAGTCAGGGGACAAGTACAAGTTTATACTCAAAGCAGAAGGGAGCTGGGGTGCCTTGTGGCTGGAACTGACAGAACTGGGTGCAGGGGGTGTGGGACAGAAGGGAAGCAGGTGATTTCACATAGGGTCTTACATGGGTTTATTCATCAGCACAATAGAAAGCCACGGAAAGCTGTAAGCAGGAAAACATGCTCATAACAAGGATTCCAGACTCGAGTCTCATTTCTCAAAAAAAAAAAAGCATCAGGCTGCTGTGGGGAAAGTGGGGGGTGGTGGAGGGCATAGTCCGCATGTGCACACAGCACCAGAGACGGAGAAAAGTGGAGGGACCCAGGATGTACTGGGGAGGTGGAGCTGGGCACACAGCTAGCCACATTGTCCAGTCTCCCTGGCACCTAGGAGTGTCCATGGGACATAGGGGTAGTCAACGGAACCTGGGCAGAAGTGACATGTGCATGCCCAGGTCTGGCCCCTAGAACCCAGTCCTCCTGCCCTCCACCCCTCGCCCAACCTGCAGGCTGAGTGCATGGGCCCAAAGGGACCCTGCAGGGCTGCCTGCCACTGGGGACACCTGTTCTGAACTATTCATGTGTTAAGCCTCTGAGATTTGAGGATCTGTCACTGCAGCTAGTGTTACCCTGATACATGGAGCAACCGGACTTGCTGAGGAGTTGGGTGTGGAAAGCAAGGGACCCCTGGACTTAGCCGGAGCAGCTGGGTTATGGGGAGCCTCCCCCCGAGCCCAGTCCTCAAGCAGCCCACTCCTGTCCCCAGGCCCGATGTAGTGCCTTTTTCAGAGCCCTGGGTGGGCCTGTGTGGAGACTGAGGGGCACACCAGGTAGCCTCACGGGTAGCTCTCCAGAGCATCAGGCTCTCCCAGGTCTCTGTGCAGCTCTGGCGTGCATCCCCCATTCTCAGTGACTGCTCCAGCTTCTGTGCCCAGAACCCCTTCACCTTGTTTGCCCCGGCCACCCTAAGCTTTCAGCTCCTTGCACAAGCTCTTACCCAGCCTGGGAGAGTCCTCTCACCACCCCTCTCAGCAGCCAACATTTATTGCATTCTGCCAGGGTGCAGGCACCGGTAGAAGCACCTTACATGTATTGATGCCTTTAATCACACAGCGTCCTTCTGCAGTAGGTACTGCTGGCTAACCCCTCACCCACTCTGCAGCTCTCAGCTCAGGCAGACATCTTTCCTGACTCCTCTGCAGGTGGACTCTTTGTGCTCCAGGAGGCCCCTGGGCTCCTGCCATCTCCCATTCTTCCCAATGCAGGGTAATTCCTGCGTTCTATATCTGTGTCTCTCTGAGAACAGGGATCCAATCTTGGTTACCCCTCGGTCCCCTGAACCTGGAACAGAATTTGTAACCCAATGACTGTGGACAAATGAGAGCAGTAGCGTATGGAATTTAAGAAGATGAACTATTCCCAACTGCTGGGTTTATAGCCCACTTTTGTTGCTTGACAGCGTGAACTTGGGTGCCTCAGTTTCTCCATCAGTATCATAGGGATAAAAAAAATCCTAACTCAAGAGGAGCTGTGAAGCAGATTAACCCCCAAAGATGTCCACGCCCTGTCCTTACACCTGTGACTCTGCTTGGCTACATGAGAAAGAGGCAACTATGATCACAGATGGCATAAGGTGACTAACTGGCTGACCCGAGCATGAGAGGTGATACTGGATTAGCTGGTGGGCCCAATGTAATCCCCAGGGTCCTTCAAACAGGAAGAGGGAAGCAGGAGAGAGAACCAGGGAGATGGCGGCGTGAGGACTCAACCTGGCATTGCTGATGCTAAAGATGAAGGAAAAGGCTGGGGATACAGCTCAGTGGCATAAGCGCCTGCCTGGCAAGTGCAAGGTCCTGAGTTCGATTCCCAGTACCCCAAAAAAAGATGAAGGAAGCCACAAAACATGGCAAGTGGGTGAGTTCTGGAGTCTGAAAAAGGCAAGGATACAAAATCCTGCGCAGAACCTCCTGAAAGGAATGCAGCCAATGCCTCGATTGTACCCCAGGGGGTCCTAGACCTCCACCCCACAGAACCGGAAGAAACACACTTGGGCTAAGCCACTTCGTTGTGATCACTGGTGACAGCTCAGCAGTTGTTGAGGATTCCTGAGCCAGTGGACCTGAAGCCCTGAGAGGGTATCAGCCCCAGCTTGTCTAGAAGTCTTAGCCACTATTACAAATATTCAAGGAAGTGGATGCTGGACTACGGGGACTTCCCAGGCAGAATCAGGGGCCAGTGCCTGTAGAAGGGAACTTGGACTCTTTCTCCCCTGAGAGGCCAGGTGGCAGCTCAGTGGCCAAGAAACCAGGTGCTGGTGGCAAGGGTGCTGGCGCGATAGTGTCAACGAGCTTGGTTTTCTGATTCTTCTCAGTCAGAGGGGCAGAAACCTAGGCTCAAGTCTCGAGGTGGAGTTGAATGGGGCACCAAAGGCTTCAGCCCGAGAAGGGCCTGAGAAGAGCTTGCTAGGACAATGGGGTTGGGGGTGTGGCTTGGTCTTATGGGATGGGCGGGACTCTTTCAGGAGAGAGTTCATGGGGTCTTTGGTCAGAAGCACAGCTGGGGTCTACAAGACCTGGGTTCAAATTCCGGTTCTTCCTCTTTCTAGCTGTGTGTTGGCAGTCAGAACCCTTCTATTTCACCGTACTTCAGTTTCCCCACCTGGAAAATAGGGTGAAATTAATGTTCATCACACAGGACCATACCAAGGATTGTCAAAGTTACTGTGTGCCTCTTTTGGGTGCCCCGGGGCCAGTAGCTACTTTTCCTCCCTTTTCACAGCTCTCTGCCTGGGATGTCAAGAATTCTGTGTCCAGAAGCAGCAGCCAGGCTAGGACCTCAGCTTCTGTCTGTCCTGGGCACCTTCGCAGACACTGCTGTGGAAACCCCCTACACAGTCCAGGAAACAAGCGACATTGGCTCACTGAGTCCTCACAACCAGATCACAGCTGAGCCGGGACTTGAACTCTGGGCTGTCTGGTTCCCAGGGTCATTATCCCTGCCAGGCAGGATGGTGCTGGCCGCATCCCACTCCCATGGCCCAGAGACCTCACTTTCCGGTCTCTGAGGTGGGTGCCTTTGCAGGCCGCACTCGCCCTCCACTGAGGATCCTGTGACAGACAACTGAGAGCTGCTGTGTCAGGTGTGCCTGCTGGGGGTGAGTATTATTGGGGCCATGGGAGAGCTGTCTGGCCCTGCCAGGCAAGTGACTCTGCCCTGTGCTTGGCATTTTTGGTTCAGCTGCTCTATTTTAAGACAGAGAGGTTAGAGTTTGTGTATGTGTGTTTCTCAGCTTGGAAAGCTGTCAGCTGAGCAGCTACCAAAAACAGCAACACCCCCAGCACCCCCTCCCCTCTCTCTCCTGCCTCCTTCTCTCTTTCCTTTTTGGGGACCTGAGGGGACCTAGTGATTTTCCTTGGACCCACCATGCTAGCCTCGCACTTGTGACCCCTCAACAGGGCCTTGGAGTTTCTTCTTCCAGAGCTGCAATGTTGTCAGTTTTGAGGACGACAAAAAAGGTAACCCCAGTCCCCAGCTGAGCCCTGGCTACCCCTCAAACCACTCTATGGCCCTCTGAGTCTAGATCCTTCTGAAAACTTTGTGAGCCAGGCAGGCCCTGTCATCCCAATGTCAGGAAGAGAAAACTAAGGTCTAGCATCAGAAGAGAGGGGATCCCTCTGAGACCATGCAATAGCACAGTGGTTAGGAAAGGACACGGGTGTCTGAATGATCCAGCCCAGGTTCCACCTTGGCCAAGTGACTTCACCTCTCAGAGCCTCAGTTTCCCTGACTGTGACCTTAGGGAGCAAGAATGTCTGCCTAAGAGTCTTCCTGTGCAGACTGAAGGGAAATGCATGCTCAGCGCAGAACAGTGCCAGCAAATGTCACTCCCCTCCACTCAGCTCATTTCTGCTTTCCCCTTGGCCATACTGCTTATTCTGCAGGCCTGTTGGGAACTTAAGAGATTGATTTTTATAGTTAGAATATAGTTGGGTAATTTTCCAGAAGGCCAGAGGGCCTGGGCATTTTCCTTGATAAGATTCCTCTCCTGTTTTCCTCCTGAAAGAATAGACCATCTTAACCTCAGGGGACATCAGGTGCTAGCTCCTTAGACATGGCAGCTGTGGCCTTTCAGGAGACGGATTATCACTTGGGGATCTGGACTGCAAGAAAATAAAAGCTTTCTCTTGCTAATTTAAGAAGGATTTTTGGTTCTCCCAGAATGTGCTGGGCAGTAGAAGACAAACCATATGGAACCTTATCACCAGAAATACCATAGCCATGACCATTGTGGAGGGCATTGTCACTGGGGGAGGGGGCAAATGACAAGTGTCAAACAGGACTCCCCTCTCCGGTTGTTGGGTCCTAACCAGGCTGGAGACCTGATGCGTCTCTATGACTATTTAGCTGAACCACTTCAGCCTCCTACAGACTGATATCTTGGGGTTAAGGGAGATATTGAAATCTTTGCTCTGGTTAATCATTTAAAAACCTAATTGATGAGTATAAGTATTCATTAAAACATTCTGCTTTCATAAGCATTTAAGAATCTTCACAAAAAGTGCTTTCTATGTATTCATTTATTTATTTAGTCTTTTTGAGACAGGGTTTTACTATGCAGTTCAGGCTGGCTTTGAACTCACTTTGTAGCCCACGTTGGCCCAAACTTGCAGCGATCCTCCCGTCTCAGCCTCTCGAGTGCTGGGATTACAGGCGTGCGCCACCACGCCTGGCAATAAATGCTTTTTAAAACCACTTCTCTCTCCATCCCACTCCTCATTTTTTCCCTTCTGTCTTCCCTTTTTCCCTGTGGCCCAAGCAGGAGGGTTAGAGTAGATGCGATCATTTACTGTGATCCGAGCATGAATTGGGCAACTCTTCCTGAACCTCAGAACAGCGCCATGGAATGGGCACTTTGAGCCCACCCTACAGAGGAGGAGCCTGGGGCTCAGGAGGACGCAGGGAGGTTAGAAGCCACAGTAGCGGGGAGGAAGTGCTGCACTCTTCGCCCGAATGGCAGCACTTGCCTGCCAGGGAGGAGCTGAGCGGTGCCGGTGCAGGTGACCTTTGTGGCCATATGGCAATGCGGCTCACTGCTGCGGAAGGGGCCTGTCCTTTCCTGCTGTCACAGCCCCCTCCCGTGCCCCAGTCAGTGTCATCTATTAGAACCCAAACAGCCAAATCCAAGCAGACAAGGCTTGCATTTCTCAAGACATGAGGGCTGGAAAGGGCCAGCACAGACCAAAGAGCCCAAGACAAGGAGAGCGTGTGTGGCTGAAGCTCGCGGCCACAGCCGTGCATGGCCAGCCACGCTTCAATTCATTACAGCTAAGCTACACTTAAAAGTTCATCCCTTTATCACGCTAGACACACTGGAAGTGTGGCTCCTGTATTTCACAGGGCAGACACAGAGCATCCATATCACCACGGAAAGTCCAACTGCCCTGGCATAGAGGATATAAGCACAGACTTTGTAACCAGACGGGCTGGTTTTGAGGGTTGGCTCCAGCCCTGCAGTTATCCCTGGCCTCAGTTCATTCACCTATAAAATGGGGATAAGAACCCCAAAGAAGCCCATGCATTTGGCATGGTAGGGAGCAATGTTAGTCAGTTAATCAGAGCAGCAGGAAATTCTTTCGTATGATATGCACCTTAAACATTCTAGTCAATTAAAAACATACGCACACGGTCATCATCTAATCTGTTCTTGACTTGGGGTCAGTTCGTGAGCTACGCACACTGTCCTCCGTACACAAACCACACCCATAATCTGTCTTCCAGTGTCCCATTTTATTTAAAGTGGAGCGAGGACCTGCAGACACTTGTATGGCAACAGTGCAGAATCCCTCCTAGATTTTTGTGCTTGTTCCCCCCTACCCGACCTTTTGTAGTTGTTTCTTCCACACCTCATTTAGCAGTATTTTTATGCAATTAGTCTTTATGGAGTTTTCATGAAAACAAATCTCTTCTTTTGCATTTGTATTTCCCCAGCTGATGGGATAGCTAATTCAATTACCTCCTCACAATAACGAATGTGGCTTGCGCAAACTGGTTTGGGAACAGCCCCAACAGACTGTTGGCAAGCACACTGTTCTACAGCAGAGAGCCAAGGCAAATGAGGTGCCAGAGAGTGGCCTGCTAGCCATGAGCATTCAGGAGGCCAGCGGCAGGCGTGCTGCCTTCAGGCAGAGTGGAAAGTTGGCCTGGTGCATTGGTTAAGGAAATTGGTAAAGAGCTACTACATCTGAAAGATTCCACAGTGTGGAGCTGTCTCTGTAAAAACACCTGTCAAGCAGACACTCCATTTCCCAGACTCCCTTGCATCCACATATGACTACATGACTAACCTTTACCAATGGGGCATGGGGGATATTACTACCAGGCAGGGGCTACAGGAAGCAAATGAACTTCTTCAACTTCATCTTCAGTCTAGATGCGGTGGAGGCATCCGTGTAAGATATGTGGGTCATCACATGAAGGAAGGTTGGACTCCAACTAGGAACACCTGTTTTGCTTATTATAGCAGCTAGCATTACCCTATTTAATATACTTGCTATGTGGGACTGCTGTGAGGGTTAATGCATGTGTAACAGACTCTGTACTGGGACTTTTCCTCTTTCCTTAGATTTCCAGCTAAATCCCCAAAGCTGCTAACTAAATACCCCTATATCCCAGAAAACCACAAGGTTCACACCTGAAAAACTTTCAATAAATGGATTACTTACATAAACTATTTAGATTGGTTTGGGGCAGGTGTTAACTCTTATTATTACTCAAACTTGTGCCAGATCAGGAGTCAAATTATCTCTAAGTTTTATGAGTTCTAAGTAATAATAAGAATTTATACATATTTTTGTTCTGGTAGAAAGCTATGATTTTTGTATTTGGAGGTTTTCGTAAAACAACCAAATTTCATAAAATAGTAATGAATCCAAATATGTCACATTGCCAGCTCCCTTTGTGACAGAAGAATGAGGGGGAAATCTGTAAGTGCTATTTACAATCATCCTTATTTTCTGGAAGAATGAATCTTATAACCCCTCGAACTAGGAAGGCTATCATCTCAGACAGTAGAGAACAATTCTTCAGATGGAACCCATTTAGCCTTATGAATGTCCCTGTGTTGCTCTTCTCTTCCCTGTGTCATTCACTGGGCCATGAGTGGAGACCGTACGCACAGACTACCACAAAGGGTACGAGCATTCAGAGCTATTGTTCCCTTTAATCTGCATGAGATCCTGGGACTGTCTTGGTCCATTCAGGCTACTATAACAAAAATACCTTACACTGGGTAATTTATAACCAACAGACACTTACTGCTTGCAGTTCTGAAAGCTGAGAAGTCCGAGATCAGAGTACCAGTGGGATTCAGTGTCTGGGAGGGCTTGTTCATCATGAGCGGTGCCTTCTATGGTGTCTTTTAAGTGGCAGAAAATAAAAAACTCTTTCCAGCTTCTTTTCTAAGGGCACTGAGGCCATTCGTGAGTGCTCCACCCAGATCACTTCCCCAAGACCCTGCCTCTTGGTGCCATCACCCCGGGGTCTGTGTTGCAATATGGATTCTGGGGGACACGAATGTTCAGAGCAGGATCATCATCTACATTTCTTTTAGGAAGATGCTGCAGTTTAGATAGGTTAAATGACTTGCTCAGGGTCACACAACTGGCTCTCAGCTCTAGTCTTGGAGTGTCCGCATTCCTGGAAAAAAGCTGTCTTTTCCTCTGGACTGAGTAGATGTTGGGGGGGCCCGTTCCAAAGGTCCGTGCAGGGACCCAGACTCCTTACTTGTGGCTCTGTCGTGCCCTGGAGCTGAGATCCCCATCGCGGGACAACAGATGTTTCCATGGATGGGATTCAGGGGTTTATGAACTTATAAAGGAAAATAATTGCATCTTTATTTCTACTCATCTCTGGCATTTCACATTTCCTTCAATTATCTATGGAGATAGCAACGTGATGTCAGTAGTAGCACCTTCCTGTTGCTAATAGAAGTCATAGATATTTTCATATCACACAGCAATTGCTGCAGATAACTTGAAATACTGTTCGGACTATAATCACATTGAAGTTTCAGTAATTAGACTCTGTCTTATTTCATCTGTTAATGACAAAGCGTTATACAACACACTTAAATTTTTGACTGCTATATTTGTGCTGAGTCGAGGAAGGAACTCAGAAGAACTTTGCCTTCTGTGGGGCCACTGTGGGACCAAGTACTCACCATCTGGAGCATGGGGTGAGGCAGCATGGATGCCACCTTGTGTTCTGATCAGGTGCAGGGCAGGTGCAGAGCAAGTGCAAGGCAAGTGCAGGGCAGGCGTCAACAGAAGTAAGGGGACTGGACACCCTGGGGGTGAGCGGGGAGGTGGAAGACAAAGTCAGTCCCCAGTCAGTTTGACTTTCTGGGGCTCCAGGCAGGAGAAAAGCCGCTGAGAGGCTCACATGAAGTTGAAGATGCTGAGCCCAGTTACATGATGTGAGACACCGCTATGAACACCCAAGGAGGGGGGCAGCGAACACACAATGCATAAGGGCCAGACCAATATGCTAGAGTCACCTACCCCAGGTCCGCTTGTCAACTCAAGTTGATCAAGAGGCCATGCCCCTGTCCTTGGGTTTTCCCTGATACCATAATTAATTGCAGTAAAAGAGAAAAAAGATGTCTCCAGGCAAAAAAATGCACCTCCGACCTAGGCTTATTTCAGCTGCAAGGAAACATTAGCATGTGTTGTTAGCACATGAGGCATCAGGGCCACCCTTTCCCAGATAAAGGTGGGGCACCTCTCTTGGAGGTTGCCTGAGTGGCCCCTTCAAAAGAGCCACTGGAATGGCTGGAATGGGCGTGGTCTGGTGGGCTACCTCCTCTGCAGCACTGGATAGAGGGCTGGCATGTGTGGATTTGCCAGGAATGACCCAGAAACCCAGGAGGAAGGAGAATGCAGAGCGAGAGAGGATGCCAGGAAGGCGAGGGAGGGAGAGAGCCAGGGCACAGGGCGACGGGGACTGGGACAGCAGGGAGAAGGGCTAAGGGGGAGGAAGGCCAGTGCAGAGACACCCAGTCTTCCAGGATGGCCAAAGTGCAGGCGAATCCAGAAGGCTTGGCAAATCCTGCCTGCGAGTCCTGGAGGAATCTGGGCTCACCGCAGAGGCCAGCTCTGAGCTGCAGAGAGGTTTAAGCAGAGCAACCTATCAATGACCGTGCTGGAGAAGGATCCTCCTGGCTGCACAGTGAGGCCAGGGAGGAAGCACTGCCCGTGGGCACAGGGGCTGGGAGTTGTCCAGGGAACAGGTGGAGGCTCCCTGGCTCTGGCAGGCGACTGCCCTTACAGGCTTCGGTTTAAGCATAATCTGTTCTGAAAAGAAAGCCGTGACATCTAGCACACATGGGAGAGAATTCCTGGCCTAGCTGTATCACTGCCTCACTGTGACGCCTTGGACAATCTCTTGCCTTGTCCAGATGTGGGCTGCATGCGCTTCCACATCCGGGCAATGAGAGGCGCCCTGGGGGACAGTCGCAGGCCTCCTGCCGGCTTGTCGCCCTTAATGCCACTAGGGGGCAGCAGCATATTACTGTTGCTCCATTTCCAAAACACCTGAAGGCATTCTTAACTAATTTTACGGATTTAACCGAGTGGGAAGTTTGTTAAATTAACCAAAGTTCTGGCCTCATCCCTTTAGATCTTCTGTAGGTTGGGAGGGAGCACAAGATATTTGCATTTCGAACACGTTTCCAAGCAATGGTTGATCTTCTGGTCTGGGTACCACACTCAGAGAACTGCTTTTGGGTTTGTTTGTTTGTTTGTTTGTTTGTTTTGTGTGTGTTTTGTTTTGTTTTGTTTTGTTTTTTTCCGGTACCGGGAACCGAACTCATGACCTTCGGCTTGCCAGGCAGGCACTGTGCCGCTGAGCTAAATCCCCAGCTCCGAGAACTGCTTTTGGGACTTGGAGGTAAAGATGAGCTCTGGACCACTGAAATACTGAGACCAGGGCATCTCTGCAGTTCTACTACATGCTTATTTTTCTAAGCCCTATCACATCCCCTTTTAAAAAAGAAGTTAGATCATAAATTGACAAATTATAATCATAGATAGTGATAGGGTATAAAGGATGTTATGATATACTGTATACATACAGTGTGGAATGATTAGATCAATATAATTAGCATATCTTCAACATCAGGTATTTATTTTTGTGGTGAGAACATTTCATATTTGCTCTCTTAGCAATCTTGAGGTATGCATTATTAACTATAGTCATCATGCTGTACAATAAAACTCCAAAAAACTTCCATCTACCTGAAGTGTTGTACCCTTAGACCAGTACTCCCCGTTCCCCCAATCCTCCAGCTCTGGTAATCACCACCCGACATGTAAACAGTGAAACTCACAAATGTGTATCAGTGAGACGCCGTGATACTATTTTTTTTGTGTGCCTGGCTCATTTGACTCAGGATAATGTCCTCCAGTTTCGTCCATGTTGCCACGAATGACAGAATTTCCTTCTATTTAAAAGCTGAAGTGTATTCCATTGTATAGTGTACCTTGTCTCTACCCATTCATCTGTTGATGTACAATAGGCTTGATGACATAATTTGGCTAATGTGCCTAGTACAGCAAAACATGGGGATGGAGGCACCTCTTTGATATGCTGATTTCAAATCCTAGGGACTTGTACCCACAGGTGGGATAGCTGGATGATACATTAATTCTACTTTTATCTTTTTGAGGAACTTCCATCCTGTTCTTTTTATTATTTATGGACCAAGTATTTATTGAGCATCTATTGTGTGCAGATACCTCTATTCTATGGGGGGAGGATAATCTGATCCAATGGAGAATGGATAGGAGCCAATTCAGTAATTGCTCTCCTGGATAAATGTCCAAAAGGAGTGTTTGCACATATCCAGCAGAAGACACATACTACGATGTTCACAATGCCCTATTCATAATAGCTCCAAACTGGAAATTGCTCAGAGGCCCATCATGAGTAGAACGGATAAATGAATTGAGATGTATTCACACAATGAGACGTTACTCAGGGATGGGAGAGGATGAACTATTGTTACATAAACAGTGAAATTCACAAATATGGTAGAAAATCAACAAGCACCAAGCACAGAAAGAATATACTGCATTACTCATTATTCTGCAATGTGTGCTGCTGGAGGTCAGGGCAGGGGCTACCCTGGTGTAGCGTGAAGAGGAGCTCAAGCGGGGCTTGGGAGGCGTGGGAGTGAAGCATCCTGCTGGGCCCACTGCTGACCGCACTGCCTGCTCTGCACAAGAGCACGGGGCAGGCTGAACACTTGTGACCTGTACACTTCTCATGTGTCACTGAGACACTGAGAAAGAAGGAAAAGAAAGGTCAGGGAAGGAGGGAAAAGGGGGAGGGAAGGAGGAAGATAAGCATGGAGAAAGAAAAAAAGAAGCAGGTCGAGCAGACTCTGGGTCCAGGAAGTTCTGACTCCTCCCAGCCCTAGACAGAGAGGGATATTTCCCTACTCAAGGCTCAGTTTCTCCTCTGCAGAATGGGCATCGTGACAACCTCCCATCCCATACAGTACCGCGCAGAACGCACCGGGAACATGGCCGCTGCTCGTTAGAACATGGCCTGGGAGCCGCTCCCTGCTAGCGCAGGGTCTCCCTCACCGTCGTCCGGTGTGCGCAGCCCAGGTAAGCCCAGGGGGCCTGGCTCTGTGCGCTCGCTGCATTCTCCTCTGTTCTGTTTTGTTTTGTATCGTTTTTTGAGACAGAGTCTTGCAGTGTTGTCCAGACAGGTGTTTTATTTTGTTTTTTATTAGTATGTTTGCAATACATGATGTTTACATTCTTGTGTGGAGTTGGTACATATACATAACACCTCTTAATTCTTTTTTCATTCCCTTCCTCTCTCTCCCTCCTGCCCTCCATCTCTCAACCCAAGTGCCGGGGAGGGCTGCTAACCCTGAAAAGAGCTGATAGCCAACAGCACTCAGAGCTCAGGGCTGGTAACACTAAAAGAGATGCACGCTGCCAATGCATAATCTCGATAGAAATCGAGCAAAAACTGTCAGCTGATTGGTAGCACCTCGGAAGCTCTGCCGGCACCCTCCTCTACCTCCCGGAAGAGGACAGAAAGTGATGATGGTCTGATTTCCAGGAGGGTAAGAACATGTCTGATTTCCCTCTTACATGTGGCTAAGAATCCATGCAAGCCAGTGAAAAGTGGTTTTTAATTTCCTACTTGGATCCTGGTGCAAACACAGTTTCTATTTCTAAACAAACATGTGTTGACCGTGAAGGAGGAGGTAAATATCTGGGTGGTTTTTAAACAATAAAGCACGACATGCCAAACAAAATCTCACACTCGGCTTTGGTTTATTCCAGGCTGTCCCCTGTCCCCAGGAGGGAGCTTCCCTCCTGCCTGCTTTTCTCCATGCTGAGGAGCTAAAGTGCCCAGCTCCGTGCCCCGCACGTCACGGGTGCTCACAAAGGTTTGTTCTTGCAAATACGAAGTAGATTTCAATGGTTTTTCTGACTTTTTTCAGGACCATATGATGTCACCTCATGATGTTCATAAAGAATTCAGTCACTCAGTCCTCTCTGGATGAGCAGGGCATTCTTGGAAAGCATAAACCCACCCACAGGTTTACAATAGCCTTGTACTGAGTTTACAGAACTCTGGGGAAGGAAAAGAGGACTCAGAATAGCCACATGCCCACTCTTCACCACACTTCAGCCAAATGGCCCATCCCGTCCAGCACCAACGCCTGCCGCAGCCTAGTTATGAAAGGGATGGTCATCCCATTCCTGCCCAGGGAAGCTGGGGAGAAAGCTCACCATGTGATGTTTGATGAGTTTGTGTGGAGGCCAGGAACCAATTGGAGTACTTGGAAGCCTTGGCCAGTCTCCCAGGGTCTGAGTTAGAAGAAGGGGTCTGGTCATGCACCCCACTGCAGTACAGGATCCAGTGGGACCAGGGAGCTTCAGCATGTTCTTACCCTCCTGGCTCTGGATGGTGGACCCAAGTTGGATTGCTGCTTGCAGCCAAGCATTGCCAGGGGCCATCTGTGCCAGCTCGGGCCTGGGCACAGGGCTATCTGCTAGGGAGAGTGGGTACCGTGGCTTTATTCCCACCTGGCTCTAGAAGGCACTGTTCCATGGGCTGCGACCCCTGGCAGGTGGGCAGGGCCTGAGCAGGCACAGGCGGTGCTGGGTCTCCAGTCGGCAGAAGTGGTTCTGGTTGGACACCCGGGTGGCCACACCCAGCCCGCAGGTGGTTGAGCAGGGACCCCAGGCTGTGCTCCATTCTGGGCAAGGAACACCCTGGGGCAGGGGAGCAACAACACCAGGAAACTGGTGTCCTAGGGGGGAAGAAAGTAGAGTCAGAATGTGAGAGCCAGGTGTGGCAGCCAGATCAACCACCTGCTGATGGTCACAGCGATCCTGGTCAAGCTGCTCCACCTCTCCGGACCTCAGTCTCTTCTCATGTAAATTTCCTGACAGTGGGTTGTTGGGACTGAATAAAATAATGGTTGTGAAGTGCTTAGCACAGTGCCTGGGACCTGTTATTAAACAAGTTATTAAACAAGTAGTGTGGTTCCCCAATAAATAGTGAGCATTCTTGTTTCTGGACCCCCCAAGCTCCTCTAATAAAGGCTGTGTTACAGACAGGAGGTGCCACCTATATGATGTGGCGCTGTGACCTGGTGACAAGGATGCCAGAGATTCCAAGATTTTGTGCCTGGAACGAGATAGTGGGTCCCCACAGTCTAGCTTTTCCTCTTCACTGATCTCTCTATTACATGTTGGCGTCCTTCTGGTCCCGAGAACCAGTAGTTTACAACTAGAGGTGGTTTTGCTACCCCTATGGAGCATTTGGCAATGTCTGGAGACCCTGTTGGTGTCCCACTAGTGATGGTAGTAACCCACCATCTCATTTTAGACACTGTTGGTTGTCACAGGGACGCACAAGTACTCATCCCAAATGTCACAGTGTGGAGAAGTCTGAGAAGCCTTGCCTTCTGCACACACATCTGCACCATGTATGCCTGTACCATGTACCATTGCACTTAGGTTTCTGGGGACATTTGTTTCAGGACCTCTCATGGATGTATACACAAGTCCCTTGTATAAAATGGTTTACTATTTGTATATAACCTGCACACATCCTCCCACTGACTTTAGATCACCTCTAGGTTACTTACAATACCTAATACAATGCAAATGCAGTGCAAATAGTTGTTATACTGTATTGTTTGGAGAATAAGCACAGACCCAGTTTTTATAATAATATTCTCAGTCCACAGTTGATTGAATTTGTGGGTGTAGATCCCATAGATACAGATA